AAAAAAAAAAAAAAAAAAAAAAAAAAAAAAAAAAAAAAAAAAACACATCATAGTAAAATTAATACCTTCTCCGCTTCGCATCGAAGCTAAAAATTAATTGTCTTAATAATTCATAATAATTTAAAATAAAAAAAATAAATAAAATAAAAAGTTATTATTGTTTTTATTACATTACTTATAAGAGAGTTAGATAAAAAAACACCAAGTGTGAAAAGGTTTCTAAGTCCGAGAGAGCACAAACGCGAAACAGTCTAGTGCAGAGACGCTTCATGACCAGATTTTTAGAAAAAATAAGGTGACTAANTAGTGCAGAGACGCTTCATGACCAGATTTTTAGAAAAAATAAGGTGACTAAATGAGCTAAAAATCGCTCTTTTATAGGCCCGTTTTATGAGGGGGAGACTTAATATTTTATATTTTAATTGCAAAATTCTTCTCATTGGCTAGTCAAGTAAACTTCAATAGACCTGTATGCGTAATATGTATGTATGTAATATGCGCAATCTATTATTCTACTAATTTGAATGAATGTTTCATATTTGTATTGGTATTTTATATCTATCATCTCAATGTGGTTTATTAGAAAAATCATCAATATAAAAATATAAATAAAATAAAATCATAAGTGCTAAAAATCTATTACAATACTGATGTCTTATTTCTTATTATCTTATCTATTACCTTTTCCCAAATTTTCATACTTCTATCTTTTATTTTGTTTCTATATTAGCAATCTTTACATTTAAAAAAGAAAAATAGAAATCAGAATTAAAATTGGCTGTACCAAAGAGGACGGGAAAACCTATAAGCTTTCTCGCTTTCTTTAACAAAAACTGTAGTATTTAAGAGCACAAGCTATACACAATCGTATCAACATTAAAAACAAATATATAGTTATTAAAAACTAATTTTTAAGAAAAATATCGTCATATTTATTTTATGGGACTCATTTATTTTCTCAGATTTCACTTGACCAACTTTTTTTAACGATACATCAAATGATCATAACTAATACACCCAATTGAGTAGATTTTAGCTTCGATGCGAAGCTGAGAAGGTATTAATTTTACCATGATGTGTTTATTTTTTTTTTTATTTTTTTTATTTTTTTTTGTGTCTGTCACTACTTTTTCTCAGCTCTCACTGGACCGATTTCTTTTAACAATACGTCAAAAGATCACAAATTGTATCTAGTTGAAGACATTACCCTTAAAAATTTAAAAATTTTCCCTCGTTCCCCGCAAATGGGGGAAATATCCAAAAAAATTACAAATTTAAAAATCG